AGAGAGAGAGAGAGAGAAAAAACACAAAGCGAGATGTTCCCTGTAAAAGAAGAGTAGAGTGAGAGATGAAGATAAGAGAAAGGGGAAGGGGTGGAAGGCGGGGCTGGGGTTGAGTTGGGTGGGGAGGGCTGGGCTGGGAAAGAAACCACATCAAACATCATGACTACTTCTTCTGATACTGTGGAGAGATGTAGAGGGCGGAGGTGAGGGCTGAAGGACTTGAAGGCCTCAGAAAGACGCCAGATGCCACGGCGTCTTCAGATGTCCGTATGGAACTGCCTCACGCGCTGTGACTGCGCCATCGCAGTGTGGAACGATGGCCATGTTGTCCCTCGGGCTCCACCCAGCGGGCACCTTGTAAGTAAGTCCTTGAGCCTGAGCGCACTTGTTGAACCATCTTGCAACAAGTAAAACCGTAACAAAGAAAGACCACGGAAACTCCAGGCTTACAGTAACGGTTGGAAAGCATGTCGTCACATACTCCTGGTTGCGTGGCTGCAAGTTTGTCGCCAGCTGCAGAAGCTTCCGCGTGCATCCAATCAACACGGATGCCCCATTCTTCGCGCCCGGACCGCAGGGTATGAGTTCAAAGACCATCGTGCGAAACCGTTCACGTCCGGAGACACCCAGGTAGCTCAAGACCTCTTTGATGGCTAGTTGTCCAAAGCCATCAATGCCATGCATCGTTGACGCGAAGCCTGCTGAACTGAGGGTGAAAGCGACAGTCAGGGTTGGAACCGAAGCATGCCACGCTTTCAGCATCAAGAGCTCGTCTTGACTAAACCGAAGCCCCTTGTCGCGACCGTCACTGCCAAAGAACTTCAAGACATGCTTACCACGCAACTGTGTATACGACGTTGCAAACTTGATAACTGCCATGGCTTGCTCTGAGCTTGAGTCGTAGCGTGTCAGATCACCGGTTGCACAGATATGTTTCCACGGAAGCCCATCGAGGCCTCCAGCACCAAGCCAGGTGCACAGCATCAGTCGCCACGTCTTGTCTTGATCGAGTCTTGGTCCATCGCATCGCCCCCGGCATCCGAAAATGCCTTTCCCCACAGGCCTTCTGATGTCGCAGACCAGCTTCCGCAAAGCTGATCAGGAAAGCGGTAGATCACCGGACCTAACACTGTTGAAGACAAAGTCTGCTCTCTCGTGAGGGCCAGAATAGATGCAAAAAAGGACTTCCGTTTCCAACAGTGCATCTTGCCTCGAGTCTAATCCCACGGTGTCGGTCAAGCGCGCACGCAAATCTGTGGCCAAGGCCTCGGCGGCCATGGCTGACAAACGGCAGACAACATGGCAACACTAAGCTAAAGTCCCGGAACCAGTAGAACTCTGGGGTATGTATATGTTTACCAGATGATAACCACAAGGAGTTTTAGGGAGTACCATTACTGTTAGTATAAGTAATCAAGTTAAACTGTGTGAAAAGGTAACCTTGCAGTTGTGTTTTTGGAGGAGGACAAGGGTTGTACCAAAAAAATCTTGTACATAATTGTGTTGTTGGAGGAGGACACGGGCTTTCAACAAAACCTTGCAGTTTTGCTGTCGGACACTGCAGCAAGCAACAAGAGCCAGGGAAAGAGAACGACAGAAACAAAGAGGGAACGTAAGAAGGAAAGATAATCAAAGAGACCAGGCAGGAGAGAGAGGGAGAGGAGAACGGAGAAATGGACTGAGAAGAAAGAAGGGAAGGACAAGAATGAGAAATGACAGAAAACAACACAGAGAGAGAGAGAGAGGAGAGAGAGAGAGAGAGAGAGAGAGAGAGAAAAAACAAAGCGAGATGTTCCCTGTAAAAGAAGAGTAGAGTGAGAGATGAAGATAAGAGAAAGGGGAAGGGGTGGAAGGCGGGGCTGGGGTTGAGTTGGGTGGGGAGGGCTGGGCTGGGAAAGAAACCACACCAAACATCATGACTACTTCTTCTGACACTGTGGAGAGATGTAGAGGGCGGAGGTGAGGGCTGAAGGACTTGAAGGCCTCAGAAAGACGCCAGATGCCACGGTGTCTTCAGATGTCCGTATGGAACTGCCTCACGCACTGTGGCTGCGCCATCGAAGTGTGGAATGATGGCCTTGTTGTCACTCGGGCTCCACCCAGCAGGCACCTTGTAAGTAAGTCCTTGAGCCTGAGCGCACTTGTTGAACCATCTTGCAACAAGTAAAACCGTGGCAAAGAAATATTGCCATACTTATTCTATATCGACCACGGTAACTCCAGGCTAACACTTGGAAAGCATTTCGGCACCTACTCCTGGGGCGTGGCTGCAAGTTTGTCGCCCGCTGCAGCAGCTTCCGCGTGCATCCAAACAACGCGGATGCACCGTTCTTCGCGCCTGGACCGAAGAGTATGAGTGCAAAGGCCATCGTGCGAAACCGTTCATGTCCGGAGACACCCAGGTAGCTCAAGACTTCTTTGATGGCTAGTCGTCCAACGCCATCAATTTCCTGCATCTTTGGTCCGAAGTTTGCTGAACCGAGGTTGAACGCAACAGTCAGGGTTGGAACCGAAGCATGCCACGCCTTCAGCATCAAGAACTCGTCTTGACTAAACCGAAGCCCCTTGTCCCGACCATCCCGCCAAAGAACTTCAAGATGTGCTTGCTACACAACTGTGTATACGACATTGCAGACTTGATAACTGCCATGGCTTGCTCTGAGCTTGAGTCGTAGCGTCTCAGACCATCAGTTGCGCAGATATGTTTCCACGGAAGCCCATGGAGGCCTCCAGCGCCAAGCCAGGTGTATAACATCAGTTGCTACATCCTGTTTTGGTCCATAGCATCGCCACCGGCATCCAAATGCCTCTGCCCCCTAGCCTTCCGGTGTCCCAGACCAGCTTCCGCAAAGCTGCTCAGGAAAGCGGTAGATCACCGGACATAACACTGTTGAAGACAAAGTCTGCTCTCTCATGAGGCCCAGAATAGATGCAAAAAATGACTTCCGTTTCCAACAGTGCATCTTGCCTCGAGTCTAATCCCACGGTGTCGGTCAAGCGCGCACGCGAATCTGTGGCCAAGGCCTCGGCGGCCATGGCTGACAAACGGCAGGCAACACGGCAACACTAAGCTAAAGTCCCGGAACCAGTAGAACTCTGGGGTATGTATATGTTTACCAGATGATAACCACAAGGAGTTTTAGGGAGTACCCTACAGTACTGTTAGTATAAGCACTCAAGTTAAACATGTGCGAAAAAGGTAACCTTGCAGTTTTGTTTTTGGAGGAGGA